GTGCAATTCATATAAAAAGTTACGGTCTTTGATCTTCATCTGTAATTACTTTAAATTCTTTTCATTTTCAACAAGCAAGGTTGTACCATCTGCTGTTAATGAGCCTTCCTCCAACCTTAGTATCATTTCCCCACCCCCCATAATCCAGCTTCTCAATTTATTTTCTCACCATACTGATTGAATATATATGGTGAAAGTATACAACTCTGGTGCACACCTTTCCTAATTTAAACCATTCAGTGTTTCCTTGTTTGATTCGAACAACTGCCTCGTGGTCTATGTACACGTTCCTCATAAGCACAATTAAGTGTTGAGAATATTCATTCTCTGCAATGTTGCTGATTATGCGTACCACCTTTCTACACACACTTGTAATTTGCCTTTGTTCAAGTTCTAGAAGAAGTTAGGTTTCTGTTTTTGCTTTTTTTTCTCTATCTGTTACAGTGTTCTTTCATTTTGTGTGTATGTTACTGGCACAGTTTTTAAAATACAGTTCTCAGGATTAACCTCTTCTTGGGTTTTCCAAAGTAATGTAGAGATGATGGGATCCAGGTTAGACGGAAGAATTCTGTGATACTGCCTGGACATCCCTATCCCATTGACAATAAAAAATTGATGATTGAGAACATCTCATCAACAGCTTTCAGAAGTAAGCGTTGGTCAAGGTTTTTTTTGTATATTAGATCATAATTCACTTCCACTTTTACTTCCATTGTCATAAATATTCATAGTCCTTAAGCATTGTGACATTATTTGCAGAGATAGAAGAAATCTTTTTTCATATGCAACTTGGGCTATGAAATAAGTTTGTACTCGAGGATATCAATATGCTCACTTTGGCTTTCAAAATCCACTAGTCAAATACTTTAAGAAAAACGATTAGTATTCTTAACCTTGCATAACTCCATTGTGACCACCTTATCTTGAAAGTAGACTTACTTTTTCCAATTAGAAGAGGAGACTAAGATAAAAGAAAATGAGTAGTAAACCTAGAAATACTACCCATGTGACATGGGACAGAAATAGACTGAGATGCAGATTAATACAGACTATATTCAGACCAGTGCCCTTTAATACAGATGTGCAGTGAAGCTAAATATAATTCTTACTGAAAATCCTTTTCGAAATCTCTCCAACACTGCACTCTTTTGATCCTTTGTCCCCTTCTCTATTCTTTCTATTAGGTTTTGGACAAAGACTATCATCTCAGTTAGGAAAAATTACAAAGCTTGAAATATTTGGGATCTGCTGGTAACAAACACACATATACACACATTAAAAGACAGGAATTTTAAAGCAATGTTTTTTATCCTGGTGTTAGATTCTCATACAAATTAAGAAGCTTTGGTAGCGGAGTGGATTAACTAGCTATACTGCTAACTGAAAGGTCACCAGTTCAAACCTACTAGCCACTCTTTGGAATAAAGCTGAGGCTTTCTGATCTTAAGATTCACAGCCTTGAAAGCCCTATACAGTGTTACTGTGGGTCGGAACCAACTTGATGGCATACCACTGGATTCTAAATATCTGTAGATGGCAACCTGCTAGTTTTAAATTGAGATTGTTATTAACAGATGAAGTTGAAACCCCTAGAAATTGTTACTTTATCTTGTTATGGGTGTTTTAGGCAAATCATGGTTAATTTCTTCATTTTGGTCTTCCCCCTTGACACATCCGCAGAGAGAAACAAATGTTCTATCAGGCTAAAACTTGTAAAGCTGAAAGTAGACTGTTCACCTAGCTGTCTCCTTTGAATATTCAGTGTTATTTTAGCTGTGCGTTTGGTCACAGAACTTTTGAGATGGAAATCAGTTTCAGAGTTGGGTCACATTTCTCATCATTTTGTCAGCTATAGTGGTGGCTGTTAAATGCCATCAAGTCGGTTCTGTCTCATAACAACCCTGTATAGAATTTCCAAGGAGCAGCTGGTGGGTTTGAACTCGTGACCTTTAGGTTAGCAGTCTAGTGCTTATACTAAAGCACCACACAGGACTCTGGCTACACAGTTGTTGTTACGTGCCATCGAGTTGGTACCTACTCATAATGACCTATACACCCAGAATGAAACAGTACCCAGTCCTGCACCAATCTCACATTTGTTGCTACATTTGAGCTCACTGCTGCTGCCGCTCTGTCAATCCACCCTGCTGGGTGTCTTCCTCATTTTTCTGACCATCCACATTACCAAACATAGTATCTTTCTCTAAGCACTGGTCCCTCATAATGTGTCCAAAGTATGAGAGACTAAGTCTGGCCATCCTAGCTTCCAAGGAGCATTTTGGCTGTACCTCTTCCAACAAAGATCCGTTTGTTCTTTTCACACTCCATAGTTTTTAATATTTTCCTCCAACACCACAACACAAATGTATCTTTTTTTCTATAGTCTTCCTTATTCACTGTCCAACTTTTACATTCATGTAAATATATTGAAACTACCTTAGTCCTCAGACTGACATCTTTGCTCTAGAACAGTTTAAAGAGATCTCATGAAGCAGATTTGCCTAATGCAGTAGCAGGAACAAAATGAAAATTTTGATGTCAGAAATGGAATGAAACTTACACATGAATGCCAAAATGGAGTCTAGGGAAAATTAATTTTGCTCCCAAAACTCTACAGTAAAGTGATTTTCAGGTTTAATAGAACTCCAAAGGAATGACTGAATGAAACTAGATGATACAAAAATACAGTATTGTAACAAATAGTGGTGAGGCATTGTAAATGCAATCCAGAGAAAGAACAATACAGTTGTTTTACTAGGTGTGTGTCCAATCTTATTTAGTTGAAGCTATTATTGTAGCCATGAGAAATAATAATTTGGTTTGTAGGGAGTTTTGAAGACCTGGTATGGTTCTATATAACAAGCACTGGGCTGCTAACCACAAGGTAAGTGGTTCAAACCCATCAGCCACTCTTAAACAAACCTATATAGACTCACTTTGAGTCAGAACTGACATAGCAACACTTGGCAGTACCAACAAGAATGGAGTTTTCATTGAAAGTGCTATAATATCTCTGTGATTTGCATCCAATAGAGGAATAAATTATTTTTTTGAAAAAAAAAAAAAGATTTTAAATAATAGAATGTTGAAAATATCTGTATTAGTTCTGTAAGCTCAAAAAATAATACAAGATAATGTGACCTCACAGTCTGTTGTTCAAACCCACCAGTCACTACTCAGAAATCCTGTACAGGGTCATTATGAGTCCGAATTGATTTGATGGAACTTAACAACAGCAGTTTGTAAGGCAGAAATATAGTTATCTTTACATTTTTAAGAGTGATCCTGTACTTGAGGCTTGATATCAACCTTGTGATGGGTGCTGGTGAAAAAAAAGTTGCCACTGAGTCTGTTAAAATTTCATACTGACCCAATGTACTTCACTGTAGAATCATGCTGCCTAGGGTCATAATGGCTGTGGTGTAGTGGCTGATGCATTGGGCTGCCAATCATAGGTCAACAGTTTGAATCCGTTAGCCACTCTGAGGAAGAGGAGGCTTTCTGCTCCTGAAAAGATTGACAGTCTTAGCAACCCCATATAGGGGTACTATGAGTTGGAAACAACTTAATGGCAGTCAGTGAGGAATCTTTCTGAAGGGAACTTGGTGGCACAGAATTTAAGCTTTGATCTGTTAACCACCAGGCACCTAGGTGGTACAGTTTGACTGTTCAATGCCACCCAGAAGCCCATTGAAAGAAATGGCCTGGTCAGCTTCTTTTTTCAAGATGACAGCCACAAAAAGCCATTGGAGCAGTTCTCTGTCACCCCTGGCACAGCCACGTGTCCAAACGGAATCAAAGCCATTATTTTTGTGTGGTTTTAAACTTCCCAAAGTGGATCATCATCCCAATTCAGATCCCAACAACATTCCCCGATTTCAAAATTTGCTACATGGCTACAATGATCAAAACAGGCTGGTACTGGTACTCTTTTGCAACGACATATCAGACAAGGAACTAATTTCTAAAATCTATAGGAAACTACAAAACCTATATAAGAAAAAGACAAATAACTCAATTAAAAAATGGTCACAGACATGAGACACTTCACCAAGAAAGACATTCAGGCATCCAACAAACATTAAAAAAAAAAATTCACGATCATTATGCATTACAGATACGCAACTCAAAACAATGAAATATCATCTCATACCAGCAGTAACAGCAAAGTTCAAAAAAGAAGAGGACAATAAATTCTGGCCAGAATGTGGAGAGACTGCGACCCTCCTACATTGATGGCTGGAATGCAAAATGGTCCAACCACTTTGGAAAACAGTAATGGTGCTTCCTCAGAAAGGTGGAAATAGAAATACTGTTGTTGTTGTTGTTATGTGCCGTGGAGTCGGTTCTGACTCATAGCTACCCTGTACAGGGTTTCCAAAGCTGTAAATCTTTATAGGAGCAGAAAGCCTTGTCTTTCTACCATGGAACAGCTGGTAGTTTTGAACTGCTGACCTTGTGGTTCCCAATCCGATTCATAACCACTACGCTACCAGATATAGCCACAAGCAATAGTAGTCAGAACACAAGTAGATACATGCACACCAATGTTATCGCAGTACTATTCACAATAGCAAAAAGATGGAGACAGCCCAAGAGTCCATCAATGGAAGAATGGATAAACAAACTTTGGTACATACACACAATGGAATATTATGCTATCTTGAAAAACAAAGCAGCAGCAAGCCACTGAATTATTACATGGATGGAACTTAAGGATATTATGCTGAGTGAAATTAGTCCATCACAAAAGGATAAATATTGTATACAATCATTATTATAAATGTTAGTAAGTCTATAGTATATTACATGGAGTAAGAAACTCCTGGACTGAACCGCAAGGTCAGTGGTTTAAACCCACCTGCCACTCCACAGAAATCCTATGCAGGCTGGCTATGAGACAGAATCAACTCATTGTCACTTAACCACAACAATGGAACATTAACATGGAATCTTTATGCCAAACGAAGGTGAGTAACTTTTTTATCTTTCTATTTCAGATTTTTCATTATTCATATACTGCTTCATATGTGATTCACAACATACACACTAGGTAAGTGATTTGCTTTTATAGTTTCTTTGAATTATTTTCCAACTTAATTCTACATGTAGATGTGAATTCAGTATATAAAATATTTATGTTTTTTTCAAGGGAAGTTTGGGAGTTAAACCCACCAGAAGTAGAGGACTCAGTCTTGCAGTATGCAGCCTGGGGTGTCCAAGGACAGCAGCTGGTAAGCACAGGCATTGGTATGCACCAAGTAATGCCAGCCACAGCATAAGGAAAATTATTTTCCTTGTAAAACTGCTGTATTATACTTGATGTTTTCCACAGAACCTTTGTTATTTTTTTATTTAGTAATCTCTCTAGAATGTATCAAATGATGCTAGTAGTATTTTATAGTTTGCTTAGAGTTTATAGAGTAATGTATGCTAAAATTGCTAGTTAATAATGAAGCCTACTATAAAATTCAATACTACTGAGCTTATACATAGCCACTATGAGTTGGAACCAACTCTACTGCACTGAACAATTATGTGACATTTCTATGACATAATATGACATAACATAAATTAAATGCAACACTCAGAAGACATTTTTTCTTAAACATGTTTTCAGGACAAACATTGAACACATAGCCAATAGCCACACTTGGCAAATTTTTTTAAAGTTTTTTTTGCGTGAAATGAGTGATAGTTTATAGGGCAGATAATCAGTTTAACAGTCTACAACTCATATACTTTGTTTCATTACAATAATTATAATCCACTCCATGTACCATCAGTTAACAGTATTTCTCTCCATTCATTTTATCTTTTTTTTATAAACACTTGGGCATATATAATAATTTAAACCATCAAAGGGCACATTCTGCAAGCCTGCCTCCTGGCCGCCAACTCTCAGTCCCTCTCTTCCCATGAATCTAGAGTCCTTAGTTGCTCCCTCTTTCCTTGTCCCCATCTCTGCCACCATTTCTGGTGTCGTTGCTTCTCTGGATAATGTCCCGCATTCCGCTTGTGCTCTTCTCCCTTGATGGTCCTAGGATCCTCTGTTTCTGGAGGGTAAGATTAACTACTCCCCCGTTTTTGTTACAAAACTTATACCTTTACAATTGTGACAGTCACAATTAGTCATGATAATAATTACTGTTGAATCGTAAGAATCTTATCCCCATCTCTTTTAACCAGACCCATATAGACAAGATGAAAACTATTCAGTGGGGACTCTATTTTTTCCCACATCCTTTTTTTTTTTTTTTTTTGGAATTTCAACTCTTTTTTTTTTTTTTTTTTAATGTTTTATTGTTCTTTTTAATGAGGATTTTTACCACATTGAAATAATCATAAACTCAAAATTTTAACTTTTATCTATTTTTAATATATAAAAGAACCTTAAGGAATACTTATTAATACTCCAGTACATGCCTCAAGTATTTATGTAAAGGACTTTCTAAAAGGAATAATGCCCAGAAAAATTTTAGCTTTGTTTTATATGGAATTGTTGTTGTTGTTATGTGCCGTAGAGTTGGTTCCAACTCATAGCAACCCTGTACAGGGTTTCCAAGACTGTACACATCTTTACGGGAGCATCTTTCTTCATTGGAACAGCTGATAGGTTTGAACTGCTGACCTTGCGGTTTGCAGCCCTATTCATAACCACTATGCTACCAGAGCTCCTTTTATATGGAATATGCCTGCTCAAATAATATCCCAAATCAAACCACTGCCATCAAGTTCATTCCAACTCATAGCAAGCCTTAATTGTGTTTCTAAGGTTATATATCTTTATGGGAACAGAAAACCTCATCTTTCTCCTGGAGAGCAGTTGGTGGGTTTGAACTGTCATTCTTGAAGTTAGCAGTTCAGTTCAAACATGCCACCAAATAGCTTCTTACACTGTTTGTTATTTCTATTATTTAACCAGCAATTATATTGAGAATTCCCTTTGTTTAATATTCTCACCAATGCGTAGTATTTTGGACTTTGAAATTATTCCATATTTTATGAACATAAAATAATAGTTAATAGTTGATTATTATTATTTCCTATTTCCTTGAATTCCAATGAACTTGAGGTGCTTTACACCTCTATTTATTGGATATTTATGTTATTTCATGTGAGATGTATGTTTTGCAAATTTTTTTAATGTTTTATCATTTCTAAATTAAAAACAATTCACGTCCTTTGGAATGTGACACTGGTCAAAGGCTATCTTTGTCCAGGTTTTGGCTTGATATTTACTCTATTGTTTTATTTCTGTCTCATGGAAACAGAAAGGTATTTGAATTCAGAATGGCTTTTAAGCTACATCTTCAAAGTTGTTAGTTGGAAAACTTACTTTGAATCTGTAGATCAACGTTAGGATATTAACATCTTGTTATTTTTAAGCACTGTCAAGTTGGTTTCAACTCATAGCAACGCTGCATACAATCTCCAAGGAGCTGCTAGTGGGTTTGAATTAACTGACCTTGTAGTTCCCAGTCCAGGGCTGATCGTACAACACCACACTAGGTGTTGTATTAATGTTTTATTGATATTAAAACTTTGTACCTAAGATGTCAATTTGCGGAGGAAGGTGCACCTTACCCAAGCTGTGGTATTTTCAGTATCCTGATATGCATGTGAAAGTTGGACAATGAATAAGGAAGATTGTAGAAGAATATTCAAAGTACCATGGACTGTCAAAAGAACAAACTGACCTGTGTTGAACGAAGTATAGTGAAAATACTCCTTGGAAGCCAGGATGGCCAGATTTCATCTCTCATAGTTCAGATATATTATCAAGATAGACGAGACCTTGGAGAAGGACATAATGTTTGGTACAGTGGCGGGTCAGTGAAAAAGAGGAAGACACCCAATGAGATGGGTTAGCACAGTGACACCAGCAATGGGCCCAACTGTAGCTGCAATTGTGGGGATGGTGCAGGGCTGAGCAGTGCTTCATTCTGTTGTGGATCGGTTCGGAGCTGATGCAATGGTACTTAACACCAGAAACAACAGCAATCCAAGATCATTTCCTGTAACTTCAGTTATATGTAATTTCAACCTCTTCAACACCTTTCCATGAAATTCCATAATGTTATACCACAAGATTTTGCATGATTTAATTTTGGTTGGTATTTTAAATTCTGTCAGACTATTCTGTCACTTTTTTTTTTTTTCCTTAGTTTATCCATATTCTTTCAGTTACTTGCTGCTTTTAAATGCTGTTTCATAACTAATTTAAATAGGGTTTCCTCTGAGTGGCTGGTATGTTTGAACCACCAACCCTGCTGCCTGGTGCTTATCCTATAGTGCTACACTGGAACTACACCTGTGTTTTCGTGCTGCAAAGAAACAATGCAATTAATATTGTTAAGCTAACTTATCAATTACTAATTATTTTTATTTAGAGTATCATATTATAGGAGTCCTGGTATAGCGCTATGGGTTAATGCACCAGACTGCAAAGCCGTTTGAATTGCAAGGTCAGTGGTTCAAGCTTACCAGGTGCTCCTCGGAAAGCCTATACAGGGTTGCAATGGGGTTGGAATCGATTTGATGGCACTTAACAACAACATCATAGTATATGTAATTGCTGGCTGCCTTTTCCATTTGAATTTTTCTATTGTTTATTTTTATAAATTTGTACTGTACAACCTGCCTGTCCTCTGGTATGTATATGTATACTGCTTTATTTATATGAATATTTTAAAATTATTCTAATATGGATATTAAATGATTGTGTTTGACCTTTTTTTTTTTTAGTGGTATTGGTAATTTAGAGTCCTGGTGTGGCACCGTAGGATAAGCACTTGACCTGAAGGTTGATTTGAACTGCAAAGCTGACTGTTCAAACTCACCAGTCACTTTTTGGAAACTGTATATAGGGTCACTATGAGTCAGAATCAATACAACACCACTTAACAATGACAACCTGCATAATTTATAATTTCTAGGCATCTAAATTTATTAGTAAGGAAACTAACAGTCTGGGGTGACTCCCAGATCCTCAGCCACCTCAGGACACCTTGTTTGTTAGTTTGTCATACTATGGTGGTTTGTATGTTGCTATAATACAGAAAGCTATGCCCCCTGTATTTTAAATACCAACGGGCTCACTCATGGTGAACAGGTTTCAGCCTAAGATAGACTAAGAGGAAGCAGAGAACCATTTTTTGAATGATGAGCTACTGAAAACTTTATTGTATAGTAGCATAATATTGTCTGATACAGTGCCAGATGATGAGCCCCTCAGGTTGGCATGCACTCAAAATATGAATGGGGAAGAGTTGCTTCCTCAAAACAGTTAACTTTAATAGCATGAATAGAACAAAGTTTTCAGAACCTTCATTTGATGAAATGGCCAGCTCAAAATGGGAAGAAACAGTTGCAAACATTCATTAAAAATATGAACAAAGTGACACAGATGTATACATATCTATGTTCATCACACCACTATTCACAATAGCAAAAAGATGGGGACAGACTTTAGATAAAGAAGACTGGTACATACACATACTGGAATACTATCCAGTCTTACAGAATGTGATTACAAAAGAGCTGTTCTCCCAAAGTAGTAGTTGTTGTTGTTACTTGCCTTGGAGATGGTTCTGACTCATTTTGACCCATGCATAACCAGTTCAAATACTGCCAGATCAAGGGCCATCCTTAAGATTCTTATCTTTGAGCCAATTTTTGCTGCCACTATTGTCAGTCCATACTATTGTCAGTCCATTGTGTTGTGGTCCTTCCTCTTTTTTGCTGTAACTCCACTTTACTAAGCATAGTATCCTTCTCCAGGGATTGATCCCTTCTAACATATCCAAATACAAGTGATGATGTCTAGCTGTCCCCAATTCTAAGGAGCATTCTGATTGTACATCTTCTGAGACAAATTTGTTTGTTCTTTCAGCAATCAAATGTACTTTCAGTATTTTTCTCCAACACCAAATTCAAGTACATTGATTCTTCTTTGGTCTTCCTTATTCATACTCCAACTTTCACATACATATGAAGTGACTCAGAGTATCATGGGCTTTGGTCAAGCACATCATAGTTCTCAAAGTGACATCTTTGCTCTAACAATTTATATGAGGTTTTGTGCAGCAGATTTGTCTAATGCAATACAAAGATACAAGTATATTTCTTTGATTTCTTCACTGTTGTTTCCATGACTAAGTGCCGATTATGGATCCAATGAAAGGAAGTCTTTGACAACTAAATTCTTTTTTCCATGTATCATATTATTTAC